GAGTGTTGGCTAGCCGTCTCCAGATCTCAACCCCATAGAAAATCTTTGGAGGGAGTTGAAAGTCTGTGTTGCCCAGCGACAGCCCCAAAACATCACTGCTCTAGAGGAGATCTGCATGGAGGAATGGGCCAAAATACCAGCAACACTGTGTGAAAACCTTGTGAAGACTTACAGAAAACGTTTGACCTGTGTCATTGCCAACAAAGGGTATGTAACAAAGTATTGAGGAACTTTTGTTATTGACCAAATACTTATTTTCCACCATAATTTGCAAATAAAATCATTAAAAATCCTACAATGTGATTTTCTGGATTTTTTTCCCTCATTTTGTCTGTCATAGTTGACGTGTACCTATGATGAAAATTACAGGGCTCTCTCATCTTTTTAAGTGGGAGAACTTGCACAATTGGTGGCTGACTAAATACTTTTTCCCCACTGTAGTAGAAAACACTGTAGACCTGAACACAGATCCATAACAACACCTAACATAGTGGTCCCACCAGATCACACTAGCCACGACAGAGAAGATTATGATCTCACAGAAGCCCAGATGCTCACAGAAGTGCACAGACAAAAATCTGACTACTTGCTTTGGTTTATTGGACGGCAGACTAAGCTATGGCTTCTTTGGAGAAAGTGTTGAATGGATGTTCACTCAGTTTCATATGAAGTGACAGGCTTTACTTACTTACTTACTTACAGGTGGTCTATAGCCAACATATAATAGAAGAAGGAATACCTCTCTCTCACTTTTTCTCTCTCACTTCTCTCTCACTCCCACAGTAGGCAAGGTGAGGAATGTGCGGTGTCACCGTTCAGCAAGCACAATCCTCTCGACCTTCCAGCAACACAACAGCTAATTAGCACCTTCTACAGAGCTGTAAGAGTCCTCTCTATAGAAACAAAGACAGCTAGGGCTGCTGTCACCTCACACTCCACACAGACAGACATGAACAGATGTCTGTTACCGTGGTAACATCAAGAAGCGTAAAACATCTAGTGAATGCATGTAGTGGCAGGTAGCCTAGAGGTTAAGAGCGTTGGGCCAGTAATCCCCACTGGTTCGAAATCCCTGAGCCGATTAGGTGAAAAATATGTTGATGTGCCCTTGAGCAAGGCACTTAACCCTAATTTCTCATAAAAGTCGCTCTGGTTAAGAGCGTCTGCTAAGTGACTAAAATGTGTGTTTACCACAACATGACTCACAAGCCACATCTGAGACTATGTTGCAGCATCTTGAGACAACTCCACAGTTTCATACAGGAAGCCAGCACTGATAGAGCTCAACAAGCACGATAGTGTGTGGAGCATACGTTTAGTTTCTGATCATGTTGCAGTAAAACAATCCTCAAAATATTATTTTTAACAGTTTTCATATTGCATCAATTTATTAACACTTAGAAAGTAATACCGGTTGCCCTTCTATTCTCTGAATGTGTTTTTGTTTGTGAATATGCAGGCCTAGCTTGAGAATTATCAGCAGGTAGCCTAGCGGTTAAGAGCATAACCAAAAGGTTGCTGGTTCGATTCCCCGAACAAACTAGGTGAAAAATCTGTCTATGTGCCCTTGAGCAAGGCACTTAACCCTAATTGCTCCTGTATAAATAAAATAAAATAAAATAAATAATAATAATAAATAACTAATAATAAATAAATGATTAAATGTAAATGTAGAAATGTTTCTGATGTGTAATACACAATCTCTGTCACTAGGTGTCAATATACACCAGCAAACACAGCCAAAAGCTAAGGCAATTTGTAAGGTTGTAAAGTGAGTACAAGGATTCCATTACTGTAAATGTGTCATTGCTGTTGCTGGTACAGTCTCTGTGTATCACATCTGCAAACTGACTGGTTCCTTTTCTGATGCCATTGTAATGTAAACCAGTTTAATTCAGTGTTGACCAATCTGTCATCTCCCTTGCTTACATTGGTACAGTATTGCTGTAACTCTCCCTATGACTCTTTCTAATCTTGTAATGGCTCTGGGTAATCATGGTGTGGCCCTGTCTTGGTAGGACTCCCTCTGGGGATTTCTCAGTTCCATCAGCTTAATCTGAGGCTGTTGTAAAGGAGATTACTACATCTGATTAAAAACATTCTGTCACCCACTCTCTCCTGCAATTCGTTCTGCCACTGTCAATTCCCCCTCACTCCTGAATCTCTATCGCTTCATCTCTTCT